CAGCGCCGGATTCGAAGTGGTCGACGGTTGTCAGCTCCTTACCGAATTACCGTGGGCCCGAACAACTGGCGTCAACGACAGCCGTGGCGTTCACTACGTCAAGCACGTTATTCCTTTTCCCGGGGCGCCGGTGATGCTGCGAAGCTTCGCTGATCGCTGCTGTCTCGTCCAAAGTCTCCGTGACGCTTTGAGCTGCCAAAACCACCAGACGAAGCTGCGCGATTGTTGTCGCTTCCACCTGCGCTTCGCAGCCGACAACTGTACCTTCATCGTGTTAAGCGCACCGACGAACGTCATACCACCCGGATGGATGCCCGCCACGTTGCTGCGGGTGCTGCAACAGCATAGCGCCGACCGGACAAAGGACGGACCATCTCCAATCTATCCTGCGTCACGGGATCACAGTAAGTCGACCATGTGCAACACCGCACAATCTCTTTACCGACTGACCAGTCTCTTAGGTGTTATAGTTTCTTATGATTTCTTGTTGCCAGCAGATACCGCAATCGCGGAACGAGCGACCGCCCTCGTTTGGCTGCCCCTCCCGCTGTTGACCGAGGTCCTCCTCCACATGGACCTCCGGGCGCAGGCAACCGCTAAAAGGTCAGCCAGTTTTTGAAAGGTCTTTAGGCAAACAGTAAAAACATGACAGATGACCTTTAAATGTCGCACAGAGTCTGTGCATTGTGGCAGCAGATTCTCAGCGATAACCGCAGCACGCACCACATTATCGTCCGTTGCCGTTTCTGTCCTTCTGGCGTATCACAATGCCTCAGTCGGCGCTACCAGGCAGAGCTATTCCTTCTGGTTCGCTCCATCCGCTCCACCACGAAAAGCCTGACGCTGACCAGTCCGCATCCGCACTGCCAAGTAGCATACCTTTGCTTGAACTTGTTCTGGGCGTAGCAACCCCGTCTCCCGCTGCTCATTTTACGGGATTTCCACCTGGACTTTGGCGCCTGCGGCCGCGAGAATGTCTTTGCCTTCCACGTCACGAAATTTCGCGACTTTTGCCATCGCATCATCATTCGCAATTGGACGCTGAGCGACTTGTGGGGCTGTGTCATGTACGGGGTGCGCTGCAGATTCCCTTGGCATCATGGAAGTTTTCTCCCGCTAGATGTGACGCCATCAGCTCCAGCCATTGGTTTTATGGAGATCAACCTGGACAGCGTGGCTTTCAACTGTGACACGGGAGACAGCGCCATGTTCCGCCGCTTCATGTGGGCCGTCAACGCCCACTGCCCGCCGGTTACCGATGACCTTTACGCTTTGGCAGCGAAAGTGCACGAACATTGGGTGGGCAGTCTGGTCTATCCTGAGCAATGGTACGGGATTCGGCGGTATCTGAACTACCGACTATGTAAAACGGTTCGAAGGATAAACCTTGGGATGAACAAAGCAAGACAGTGAGCGGAAACGCGGATTTGTACCTGAGACAGCCTTCTCTGCTGATTACAATCAGCGGCCACCAGATGGAGGATGAGAAGTGCGTGAAGTATTTGGGGATCTACATACTGTACACCGCAACCTGAAGCGGAGAATTGTTTCATCCTCATCTTGAGGGTTGTCTTAATGATGCACAGCCGCGCGGTGGCATCGATTGCCATCCATTCCTCTCCGGCGAATCGTATCTCATACTCATTTCCTTAAAATGTTAGCAAGTTTCGCATGCATGACGGCGTGCTATATGACCAGTCAATTAATCTACCATTGCAGTTGGTTTCGAATATGAACTGTTCAGACTGCAGCAACCTCAGGAAAGCAATGAACAGTGAAAACGGATGCAAAACCGAGAGCAGAAAGCATCAGAGTTGCTATTGAAGCCCCATCGAATACAAATCAACTACTGCAATCGTGCAGAGCGTAATAATATGGATCGATTAAGATAAGTTTTTTAACTATCTGTAAACACGGTCGGCATATCTGTCAGAGACGAAAGGTCTGGCTGATGCCCCACACCGCCAACTTGCTCAGCTGACGCACATCCATCGCCGGCAAGTTCACATCATCCCAGAGCCGCGCTGTCCCGTCGTCATGGAATCCGCTGAACCTGCCAATTACATACAGCACAGCCTTTATAAGGGTCATTAGGCATCGGGAGCAACACATGTTTATGCTGTTGACTTACACTGACCTCCCCGTTTGGATTTCAGCAGTCGACAGGCAGCGAGCGTGCACTGTCTGGACTAGCTTTAGCTTTTTACCGACTGTGGTATGACACAGCAAGAAAGTATAATCTTGTACAAGCACAGCGCGCGGCGCTAACGCGCCGCGCTGCAGTGCAAAGGTGATTTCAGTCAGCTGCATTTTTCCCTGAATGGATTCCAGTTAGAAGGTTTAAAAAGCTTGGTAGGTTTTAGTAAAAGCGAAATAAGGTCAGTTAGGACCAGGCTAAACCAAGAGGCTTCAGTTACAAAGGCTAAAGCAGTGGGTACCTCACGCGTGGTTATCGGTAACAAAAAGCTTAAAAGGCCATCGGTGACCGAAGGCTTAATAAGGTCTTCGTTGACCGAAGGCTTAATAAGGCGGGTGCCGCACGCGTGGCCTTCGGTGTCTAAAACCTTAAATGTCCTTCGGTGTCCAAAAGCTTAAAAGGCCTTCCGCTACCTAATTAAGCAGGTACCGCACGCGTGGCCTTTGGTGACCAAAGGTTTAAAAAAGCGGGTACCGCACGCGTGGCCTTCGGTGACCAAAGGCATAAAACGGAGGGTATCGCACGCGTGGCCTTCGGTGACCAAAGGTTTAAAAAAGCAGGTTCCGCACGCGTGGCCTTCGGAGACCAAAGGCTTCAAAGGGCGGGTACCGCACGCGTGGCCTTCGGTGACCAAAGGCATAAAAGGGAGGGTATCGCACGCGTGGCCTTCGGTGACAAAAGGTTAAAAACACCTTGGGTGACCAAAGGCTTAAAAAAACGGGTACCGCACGCGTGGCCTTCAGTGACCAAAGGCTTAAAAAGGTGGGTACCGCACGCGTGGCCTTCGGCAACCAAAGTTTTATAAGGCCTTCGGTAACTTAAAGCTTAATAAGGCGAGTGCCGCACGCGTGACTTTCGGTGGCCAAAGGTTTAATACGGCAGGTGCCGCACGCGTGGCCTTCGGTGACCAAAGGCTTAATAAGGCGGGTACCGCACGCGTGGCATTCGGTGACCAAAGGCTTAAAGGGTGGGTGCCGCAAAGTTTGTTAAGGCAATTAACACTATCAGGTTTGTTAAAACACTATGGTCTTGAAGCTTAGTAAGAAATAAAGCTAAATTCGCAATAAAGCTAAGCTATTGTGAGATTCGGTTTATCAGGTGAAGGTTTTACAGGTAAAGGCAGGCACTAAATTTCAAAAGCTTAGTAAGGATAAGGCGTAACAGCACAGGTTTAAGGGGCTGCAAAAGCTTAAACGTCGCTAGGCGGGTTCCAGCCAATCCGCCTGCGTGGCGTCAAGCTTCCTTGCCAGTGCGTTGCGGTGGACTTGGTATCCGACGGGTTGATGAATTATCATTGCCGGCCTATTTGGCTTCGATTCATGCTACCCGTAGTCTGGTTTCCAAACTACTGCCACACTCAACAGGAGTTGACGCGGATGACCACATTGCACTTTGGAGCTATCTCTCTGACGACGCTTCGCCGCCTCTCCCCGAAAGCAGACACTTACAACGTGCTAGGGATACGCCTTACTGTTTAGCAGAGCAGGCAACTCTGCTGTACGAAGCATCAGATTCCACCAACAAGGCACGGCTGCTGGCTGTTTCAACACCAGAGTCCGGTGTATGGACCCACGCACTACCCTCATCCTCCATCGGTAATCTCCTGGACGACGAATCCTTCCGCATCGCCGTTGCCATTCGTCTGGGCGCACCTGTTTCTGCCGAACACCAGTGCAGGTGTGGTACCGATGTCGCCGCTAACGGCCACCATGGTTTAAGTTGCAAATTTTCTGCTGGAAGACGGCCAAGACACGACTGCATCAACGATATTTTGCGTCGGGCTTTGGGTTCGGCAGGCATCCCCGCGCGAACGGAACCTAGAGGTATGCACTACGAAAATGACACACGCCCAGATGGAATCACTACCTTCCCTTGGGCCCGTGGGTTATGCTTAGCATGGGATGTAACCTGCGTCGACACTGTCGCCCGCTCTTATTTGGATCAAACCAGCGTAAAGGCCGGAGCGGCAGCCGATCATGCTGAAGCGGAAAAAATGAAGAAGTACAGCTTCCTGTCAGGACGATATGAGTTTGCTGCCGTCGGTTTCGAGACTTTTGGTAGTTTTGGTACATCGGCTAAGAAGCTGCTCAGAGAAGTCGGAAAGAGGATCGAGTCACAAACCGGCGAGATAAGAAGCCATGAGTTTTTAAGGCAGAATATTTCATTAGCAATTCAAAGGGGTAATGCCGCTTCTGTTACTGGTACGGTTGAAAATGTTGATTTCTTCAACCGAAACTGATTCTTGATATTGTTATCGCGTTGTTGGAAATAAAGTAATTACGCAAAAAAAAAAAAATCAGAAACGTAAGGCTGTTCTAGCCATATAGAACGTTTTGGAGGCGGGAGCGTTCCGGAATCAGATCTCTGCTTTAATATATAGGAGGATCCTTGTTTGATTTAGGATTATCGCAGAATGGCAACACTGTTACTGTCTGTGGTTCTGTACAGTATGTAGCTTGCGTAGAACAGCACTGCCTCCATACGGTCTGTGGAAATTCGAAACGTGGTTTTGCTGGGATTCCCGAAACACAGCTACATTTCACTAGGAGGTTTTTTCTTTGCATATTGAATTGTGTGTAGTTTTCCACTTCAGTGTTTCCTTTGATGCAAACGCCCCGATTTTGCAGAGTCCGTGACCAGTTTTGCGCTGTACAAACTGAGCACTAAAGCGCCACTTGTAGATGCCGTAGTTCCAAGCTTCCAGCCAACCGTTTTTATTATTAAAATAACTGCCACTATACTGCAAAGTTGGCCTTTTCGTCTGAGCTAGATCGTATGCGTATAACTGCAACAAAGGAATAACATGAACACACCGATGCCACCGTTCCGACGGCTGCTGCCGGGCGCCCATCAGATGTGCTACCAGAACACGGTGGCTGTCCATGTCAACGGCGCCATGTGGCTGGGATTTATTCAGGATATCGACGGAGACCGCGTGTTCATCGATTTCGACTCGAAGAAAGCCGAAGCCAGATGGTTCGAAGCAGCGTGCGTGTATATTCTGCCGTCGTATTATCAGTACCAGAACCGCCAGCGCGACCGACCCATCTACGCGGCACTCCGCGACGAAGACGACGGTCCGTTCCGCTTTCAGTCGGTTGTTGTACTGCATGCAATCGCGCAGGGTATGTATTACGTCAGAACCAATGCCCAGTGCATTACCAGCAGTAATTCAGTCGGGGTTCGCACTGAATTGGTGGACGAATGCCAGATCCTCGGTCCGGAGTGGTTTACTGCGCCGACGATGGTGCAGCGCGGGAGGGGGCTGCTGTATACGAAGTATTTCGTTCCCTTCATGGCGATGGCCCACCAAGTGCTCAGCGAACCGGCCGATCGCTCGCGGATTATTAAACATTTTCGCGACGCCTTTGGGTCTGATGGCGGGCTAGGGAACCTGACGGATTGCTGCCGGTTTCACCTGCGCGTCCTAGCCAACGGCTGCGTGTTTGTGGTGATCGGCGTCGGAAGGAGCGCGGACGCACAGCGGATGACGTTCATGAAGCTGGCGATAATGTTGCCGAGGCATGTATGGAGCCGGGCCGGTCTGCTGCCAATTCGTTTTGATGATGGCTCCAGCATCGGCATCGACGGTAGGCTGTGACTGCTGGAGTTTTCTCTTGCGAGCGCTTTCAAACTTAATATCGGCAAGCGTCAGGCATTCGTTGTGCCGCTTCGAAGTACCCCGCCGCACAATTTTCTCAACAAAATGCGTACTTCGACGGTTTTCGCCTTCTCCGACATTTTCACAGTATGAATTATGAGTTCGTACATACCAGAGACGTATTGTCTCCGCGTCGCTCCACAGGACAACAACTTTTCAAAATTGAATATATATACTTTATAGTACAGATATTTATTTTAATTTACAAATCTTGTACAGTACATGAGACTAAAAATTATCAAGTTTTCTAATGTGAAACAGTTTAGAGGATACCCTGACTCTGCTGTGTCGATTGCGATTCGCGAATCCGTATTATGAAAGCGTCCGGAACGCGATAAATGTAGAAGGGCATAGTTACAGATACAGCTTTTACCTGCAGATACCGTAATTATCGAATTTGAAGCCCCCCCCAAAATACAAGCCCCCCCGTAATTAGAGCCCACCCCTAAGGTCGTTTGAAAGTTATAAGCCCCCCCCGAAATAGAGGCCCATGGGCTTAATTAAATGCCGTAAAGCCCATATTAAAAAATGCCAAAAAGCTGGTTTGAAAAATTGAAGCCCCCCCCTAAATACAAGCCCATGCCCGTAATTGGAGCCCACCCCGTGGGTCATTTGAACTATTTGTAGCCCTGGGCTTCTAATTCGATAAATACGGTACGTTGACGATAAAGAGTGTTCATGTTGTGGTTTTGACGATTACTGTAGTGACGGTCACAAGTTAGACCACAGAGTACGTTTACCGGAAAAATGAACACTGTATATACCCACGCTGCACGGGCAAAATTCACGATATTTCACCAGCAAACTAAAATCGGAATTCCTTGAGCAACCTTCATGTTTTAACATTTTATTTTAACTAATTAGTAATCTCTGAAAGTCCAAAATCACCTATTAACTTGGAAGGCTGAAAAGTAAAGCATACAAACTCGAGCTCCGATTTACCGTGTTGGTTTGTTGTGGTTTTTGGGGTGATGCCCCTGCGAGGGGGGACGGTTTGTGTTCAGCACTGGGATTGACAGTGAATATCTTTACAAGAGGGGAAGTGACGATTGTTTTCAGAGCTCTGATAATAAGGAAGATATGGGTGAAATAGTTAAAAACTGAAATCACATGGAAATTTGCTATCTGAACTCTGAAGTAAGAAAAGTAAAATGCGATGCAGGCCGTGAAAAATGCCCGTGCAGCGTGGGTGTATCCATGCGCAGTTTTCCGGTATACGAACTCTGTGGTCTAACTTGTGAACGTCACTACAGTAATAGTATTTAGCGTACTAATATTATTTAGCGTATTGATATTATTAATATTATTTAGCGTACCATCAGGTGCACCTCTGGAATGTAGGTGGCGGTTTGCCGTGCAGATAGAATATAATAATTATACTTCTTGAATGATTCTCAAATCTGAACTACCTATTTGAACCGGATGCTAATAGTCATTGAATGATTACAGACCCATGATAATTTTCCCCCAATTACTGCATGATTATCTACTTGATCCACCGCAGACAATTTTTATGAACTGGTAGTACGTACTTATTAGTTTGCTGCATAATTTAGACTTCCGAATGGAGTCATCGTGTTCAGCAACGTGCCTTGGTTATCTGCCGCATTGGATCTTCAGTGAAATCTTTTCTTACCTGGATCTGCATTCACACATGAAGCTCCAGCGGTACGTTCTTGCACTTAATGTCAACTTCATGATGCTGTACTTGAAATGGTATCTATAGATTCATTCATCCCTACGTCTTTATTCCCAGAAAATTCACTCCTAATTCCTGATTAAACTTTTCAAATTACATAATTTTTATAAAATAGCTTATGCCTTATAATATGTAGATTCCAGCTAGTGGGTGGTTTTGCAAAAGTTTGATTAGTCTGAGATTCAAAAAGTTTTTGAAACTTAGTACTCTGACATTGTAGAATGTTTTAAAAAGGTCATTAACAGCAGCACATTTGTTGTTTTTCGCTTTCCCGAAATAAAAGTACTCGTACTCAGCAACAACAAGATAATACACAGTATTCAGTACGATATTGATGCTTAATGTACGGCACTTCATCAATGACAGCTCCGTCATACTCATATTGTAGAATTTTAAATGTTTCCAAACATTTTGAAATAGCATTCATTACCTTTACCTCTATATTTTAATTTTTTCTATACTTTAGAAAGATTTCTAAACATTTCAAAGGTTTTTGAATCTGGCCCCGCACAGCGCGGCTAATAGCTCGATATTTTAGCATTTCTACGCTTAAAAAATGTTGGAAATAAAATTTAGAAAAATTCCAATCAATACGTCCCCGCACCTAGTTTCACAATTATGATTCCTTACCTTAAACGCAACTGGTCGCGCGCTAGCACGACCAACACTTGTAATATCTATATTATTGCACTGTCTCTGTTGAGCTAAGTTTAAGGTCGAGGCGAAGGGTATGCCCATTTTACGTGCATTTATACGAATAGGCCATGTCGGACCGGAAGCGTTACCGCTATCTGGCAACTTAGCTTTTCCAGAATGTTGCGTACATTTGTGGTAGAGAATTTTCTTATTAGTGCCGCTCTTTATACGATAAACCAGGCGGTGTATACATTGGGGTGCAAATTTTGTATTTCGGTTCTTGCTGACGAAACGACAAAATCAAGTTGCGGTATGATGGTTTGAGCAGGGTGTGCGCATTATGGCACGAACTGCTGCGCCATCCCCGCGCCACCGAGCACATTCGCGTGTGTTTGGACAGCATGACCAGAAAAACCACGTCCGACAACTGCAACGCCTTCCGAGTGGCAATGCTGCTGATGTGCTCCATCAAAGCCGCGACCAAAAGCTTGACGGTGATCACGCGCTCTTTGGGCGATCACGAGTGCTTCCTGGTCTCCTTACTGAAGGCCATGGAAGCCGTGGAGGTTCACCTACCCCTGCTGATACTCAAGAACTTCACCGTTGACCGCCGCGGACGTAGTGTCCGGGACGAGGACTTCAAGATGGTGCCATCTACAGATATGACAGCCGATGTCGTGTTGTTTGAAGAGAGCTGTGAACGGATTGTGCTGCACAACTGGAAAGTCAGTCACCTGTTTGGCCGGGTGATGTACAAAATCTTTGTTGACAATCGATTCAATTTTCGCAATCTGCATCCCTTGCCACGTCGGGAAAGGGACTTGATGCGGCCTCTCGGGTGGGGCCATGTGCTGGCCATTGATCATTCAGAGATCACGGTGCCGCGAGTGGTTCTCGACTGCCGCGAAGGCCAGCCCAACATGGTCAGCCGCATCCTGTGGGCCGTCAACGAACACTTTCCGCCGGTTACCCAGGAGATGCATACAAAGGTCAGGGCTATTTACGCTCGTTGGGTGCGTTGCCTGGCATATCCGGCCGAGTGGGAAACCGTTCGCTGCTACCTTTCACGGTAAGGCTCTCTTCGATTTTGTAATGGTAGTAGAGGAATAACGCCATTCTAGTGATGTGAATAAATTCTTCATGATAAAGTTATTCTCTATTTCATTTCGAAGCTGACCCACACTCTTCTGGCTTCTGGTACCCGGCTTTACTAAGTCAACCGAAAGATATACGATGCCGGGAAAATACTGTAATGGCAGTAATAATGCTACGGTAGCATAATACTGGGAGGCGCAATTACAGGTTTAGTGGCTTTCATTCGGACGGCACACCGCGATCATGGGTTAACGTCGATTTGCGACTGGTGGACCCCGGCGACCTGAGCAAAATGGCACTACACGGGATCAACGAAGTATTCCTGGTTGGCCACTAGCCACGCATACGTGTTGGGACACTGCATCGCTTCCGAATTGCGTATTCTCGCTGTTTGCCTTAGGTAATGTACTGAAGGACGTAGCTGACTGTTCAACGGATTTAGAATTTCCATGTGAGATATTTATTGCTTAGGGATGTTGTTTCAGGAGTTCGCTCTGAAAACTGTTGATCGGCTTTGACTCTCCTTTATAGGCTCTGTGGCTTTATAAGGCACTTATTCTTGAATTTGTTGTTACCAGTAGCATTAAACGACCGTTTATTACTGACAAAAATCGTAGTTTCCCATAACGCTTCCCTGTTAATTACTTGAGTAGGAAATACCCTTAAAGGATTGAAAATACAAGGCAGCATCCGTTGCACGGGAAATACACAGCTGCTGTTAAGTAATCAGCGATGATGTACAACCCCCTCCGGGAATTTAACACACTGAGGTATGCCGAATGTTGTCACTGCCCACGCCATCAAATGCATTCGTATCTCTTCCCGGCCACCGCAAAACCGCCAAGTCTGCATACAGTACGAGTGTACTGTATGCAGCGTGCGATTGAGCGAATAAGAGCCCTATAATCATCTCAAATCCGCGCACGTGAGATAAGTTGCTCCTTATGCGTACTTCAGCCGTAATTCGAAGTACAATAGAGATCCTACAACATTCGCAGAAAACGTTCATATACGACTCAGTGTTGCGATGACATTTTTGTTGTAATTCTTCAAAGAATCCACGCGAGTGCCGTCGTAAAAGACTCTGTATTGGGGTTGTTTAACCAGGTTGTTTTTTTTAGCTTGGGATACTGCCACTACGGTTCACAACAAAACACCACAGTGCACATCTCAACCTGGCTAATGGCACTACAAAAGGTCATTTGACTTTTAATACATACTGTGTACTGCGGGACGTAGTGGAATGATTCACTACAGTCATGTAGTGGTCTAAACATAAATAAAGAGATGGATGAATCAATCATAAACAGAGAAAACGTATTTTATCGAGCAAGCGCACGAAATCAAAGATATCCTGGAAGACCAGTGCCAAAACATCGACTACTGCGATACAGAAAGCAACAGCAAGGGTCAATTAATGCACCGACGTAATGAAAGACGCTTACACTACAGTGTGAGGAGATGTTTATCCTAAAGGATGCTTGCCGCAGTAGTAGCTTTGCAGTGGTTAGTCGTTCGGCTATAGACGCAGCTGTCGCGGGTTCGATTCCCGCCTGTGGCGCGTTTTTTGGGAACGTCGCTTTTCACACAAACGACGCTTCTTGCAGTAAGTCAAGGATAGCGCAGACACAGTTCGGCGTGTCCGTCAGACATGGAAGACCTCGCTGATGCCCAACACCGCCACTTACCCAGCTGACCCACAACCACCGTCCGCAAGTCCACATCATCAAAACACCGCACTGTCCCGTCGCCGCGGTATAAAATTGCCAGACTTACTGTAAACATGTGTTGGTATTAAAGATTACCCCCCAGCAAGATCAGTAAACAGTTTATAAAGAAACAAACACAGAACCATGAAACGCACAAATTTAGCGATAATGAGTGGATGTTGTTCGTGTGGCACAAATGTCGGTTACTGCAGTAACATCATGACTGTAGGGATCGCTTCTTGGCGGTTGATATCAAAGCAAAGTCCGGCGAAGCAGATCGCAGTTCGCATGCATATTTGTATTTCCGTCAGACGCGGAAGACCTCGCTGATGCCCATCACCGCCAATTTGCTTAACTCGCACACATCCATTGTCCGCAAGTCAATCTCGTCCCACAGGTGTTGCGTCCCGTCGCCATGGAATCCACTGAACCTGCCAAAAGCATCGGAATTCAATTTCACGTCATTGCACAGCGAGAATAACCTGAACACGCGAGTGTCTCATTTCGGCCGCTTACACTGGGAGATATTGCCGAATCCCGTCCCACTGCTCGGGATAGACCAGGCTGCTGACCCAGCGCTGGTGCACCTGCGCCACTTTGGCGTAAAGGTGATCGTTGACCGGTGGGCAGCGGGCGTTGACGGCCCACATGAAGCGGCTGGCCATGGCGTCTTCGTCCGTGTCGCAGTGGAATTCCACGTTGGCCAGGGTAATCTGGATCAGGTCGATGGACAGTGTTGAAGGTCCCATCGTCAGCGGGATCATCATCTGCTTCTCCGTCGACGGTAGGTCGCGAAACAACTCGTGCATGGCGCGGCCATATAGATCGCACACTGTCCAGTTGCGGACCATGATGCGCTGACAGTATTTGCGAAAGCTGCGGACTGTCCAGGTAAAGCGATGCACCTGGTTGTAGCCGCCGAAATTCAGGTGGAACTCCTGCGGGATAAGCAGCGGTAGACAAGGTTTCCACACCCGGAACAGCCTGGAACAGATACGGGATAAACAGCAATTGGGATGCGGACGGACCAGCGTCAGACTTTCCGTGTGGGAGTGGAAAGAGCGCATTAGGAGGGGCAGTGGCGCGTGGTTCCGTTCACTCCGGCATTCTATAGCGCCACGGTTGCAGAATTGGCAGCGGACGATGGGGTATTTGCGAAAGCATTCCAAGCGGGAGAGGTTTTGAAAGAAATGAATACTATCTGGCCGGGTTTTCGACTACGGGCTTTCAGAATATAATATTGGTTTGGCTTAGTCTTTTCTGGTTTGCCGGCTCTGGTGTATCCCATTCGTGGCTATATAGATCTGAATTAGGATATTGTTTGGTGCTCGCTGAGCTTCTAGCCATTGCTTGTTTGGAGGTCCATCTGCAAAAGGATCGTGGTCCACAGCGGAAGCGGCAGACGACTGAATCTGATCGTTCGATCGTTCCGCCGATGTACTAGCTGCGAGTGGTAGATCGAATAGTGCAGATCTTGACCTTATGTGCATGTAAGCGGACATGATTTATATGAAGATCGTTTTACAATCCAGTAAGATTAAGCCGTTCTTTTAACCCATAATAATGAAGATCGTTCTACCGCTGTTTTAAAAATTATAAAATAAATTTCTAAATTCACTCTAAAACTGGCTGTTTGAAACTTAATTTCAGTTCGGTGTACAAACGATCTTGATGCAAGCTCTACTCTCTATGTTTTGTAATAAGTGCATTTACTGATATGAGAACTAAAGGAAGATCAGTCCATTACAAGACATTTTGGAAATCTAGCTCAGCCAAACTCCCTACCCGAATTATACTGTACATGCGCAAAATCACTTGTCTAGCAACAACTTAGTCGATAGTTTTTTAGCCTTACCGCCCTTACGGTGCGCTGCAGTGTGACATATGGCAGGAACACTGTCACCGGCCGCGCATCGGTTCATGAACGCAGGATCGGTCGGTTGCGCGGTGAGCGCCGTCTGACCGGCGCGATGCTGCTGCAGCACCCGTAATAACACTGGGCTCGTCCACTCCGCCGACAAGACCTCCGTCGGGGCGCATAACACGATGAAAGTGCAGCTGTCCGTGCCGATGCGCAGATGGAAGCGACAGCAATCGCGTAGGTCATTCAAGTGGGCGTTGCCGCTCAGAGCACCACGGACACGCTGGACGCGACGGCTGCGGTCGGCGCTTCTTTGAATGATTTCCCAAGCACGTTATTCCACCGGGAAATGGAATAACGTGCTTGGTGTAATGAAGGTCATTGCCGGCGGTGGCATGTGGCGTTTGGGTGGACGGCAATTCGGGAATGACTTGACACCGGTCGACCACTTCCAGGCCTACGACAACGTCCCGCTTGCGCTTCCCCGTCATGGGTGGCGTGCTGACAAAAAACATGCTGATGTCACTGACGGTGTCCTTAATGACCGCCGCTCGGAAGCGGAACGGCCCGTCGTCCTCATCCCGCAGCGCCACCTGCACCGACGTTGACGGGAACCAGGTGTCATCCGTGGGCATCTCACCGGCAGACAGCGCCAGCCACACGCGACTGTCTTCAATCCAACACACATTCTTCCGCTTGGAGTCAAAGGCAACCAGAATACTATCGCCGCTGTCGGTGATGTCCAGGATGTATCCCAGCCAATAGGAATTGTCGACGCTGTCAGTCCGCACGACCACCGTGTTCTGGTAGCCAATGGCACGTCCGTCCGCTGCAGTTAACATCCGCCGGAACGGCGGCAAGGCTGCAGACGAGGCCATGATTCTGCCCACGTTAAAATTGTTGTACAGTCGATAAAAAACCAAGGAGATTTTTATGCAATTAATGATTCTGCTCACGTTGAAGTTGTGGCACAATTCTATAGGTGTAGTATCATGCGGTGTCTACTCAGTACTCACTGGATAGAGAATACCTTCAGTTGTGCATCTTATAGCGCTGTGCGCATGCATGTGCTGTTGCAGCACTCTCCTTGGCCCAAAACGAAAAAGGTTTTCTTGCTGATCGAAGTGTGAAGCGCTTTATTTGGGTCGAGGAAGGAGCAGAGACTGCAGAGCGCGGCAGCAGTATGCCTCAACAGCTATCTAACCGGGCCAGTGGGTTAAACAAATGCCTGCTAGACTGCATTTTTCTCTGTCTGCTAGTTATTGCAAAGCCTTCTCGACAGGAAAGGGAGGCAACGCAGAAACACTGTGCGAATATTGATTCATTAACTGGTCTTTGAACCTAAATAAACATCACCGATGACCGGAATCGAACCCGTGTCAGCTGCGCCTCTTATCAGTTATCACTGAACAACACCGGCTGCATTAGCAAATTTTTAGTGATTTTCGTCGCTGTATCTGAACTAAATCTCCATATCTGAGATTCGTACTGAATTTCCCAATCAAATGGAAATGGTAACGCACAGCGCAAATGCCACCTAAGCTCCCACCTAAAAGTATTTTTCTCAAGTGAAAATGTTGGAAGAAATTTCTTAAAAAGAAACAAATTTTACTAAAGAAATCAGGCAAGATCAAACTATATAATTGTATATGTGCCAGTAGCCAAACTGCCTGGAAGAGTATTTGTTAGGCTTTGCTAAGAAAACCTTCGAAATATTTTGTGGACAAAATAGCAATGGGGAATATCCGGATTACATGACCGTGTAACCGTCGAAACGTCACGGCGGACAACGGAAAAAGCTGTCGGTCTGAACAGTACAAGTATGCACATCGATGACATCGTGACCTTTGTACCTACACCACTGTGCACAGCCGGCGGAAGTCATGTACAGGGTGTCACGCAAAACCTGT